ATTCAGAATAATTGGAATACTACGCAATTGTATGATCATTTAATTCTTCGATGACAAGAATAAGAAGTTTTCTTCTTTCATTTGCAGTTACGCACCTGCAATAAATCCACTGTGAACATCTACATGAATGCATTTAATTATGTTTTAAAATAAGGGCGTGTTTGGTATGAAAAAAATATTTTTCGAAAAATATTTTTCAATTTTTTCATGTTTGGTTGGCTTTAATATTTTGGAAAATATTTTTCTCATGAACTCATTTTCCTCCAATTGGAGAAAAATATTTTCCCTATCAAGAGAAGGGAAAATATTTTTCAAAACTCTTTTTTAACCTTCCCCATCCGATTTCTCATCCCCACCAACCCNAGAGTATTTTTTTTATTATTTCAACAAATGAGTATTTTCTTTCATTTTAACAAAATGAGCATTTTCTTTTTATGATGTAGAAAAAGTATTTTCTTTCATTTCAACAAAATAAGTACTTTATTTTCATATTGTAGAAAGAGTACTTTTCTTTTTATTAAAAAAAGTATTTTCTTTTTAGTTATGGAACACAAATTTCAATGTTATTTTTGCGTAAAAAATTAATGTAACACATTAGTTATTTTGGGTTTGTGTGAATTTTTAGAAGAATAATTAAATTATTGAAGAAAATAGAGTCCTGAAACTGTTGGGTATTTGGAGGGGAGGGGGAGAGGAGAGCACGGAAAACACGGGGACTTGGGGGAAAGGGGCAAGGAGAGTAGTATAAAAAATTATTTTTCTAAAAAATATTTTTTACTCTCTAACCAAACACTAGAAAATATTTTTCGGAAAAAGCTTTTCACTCACCAACCAAACAAAGGAAAATAAGTTATAAAATCACTCATTTTCCAGAAAAATATTTTCCATAAAAAACATTTTCCTTCCTATCAAACACACCCTAAGTTCAGTTTTGTTAGGAAAATGTTTTCCATGGAAAACACTTTTCTTCATACCAAACACACCCTAAGTTCAGTTTTGTTTGCTGGGTGTGCTTACAATTACTCTGAATTTTAGGTCGTGAGGGTGAAATGAGAGTTTCATTTGTTTAGGGTTTATCAGTAAAGACTTTTTAAAATGATATTGGTAATATTAAAATATGTGCGTAATGAGTAATATAAAATTAAGAAAATACAAGCTCAAATTGATGAACAATTAGTCTATTTTGACGAAAACACCAAATTATGTTTAAATAGCAAATGATCAATCTAATACTTATTAATAATGTTAATGTTCGTTGTTACTCGTGAAAAGATTAATATTTCGTGGTTTGAATCTAATATAAAAGAAAAATCTATAGAATAATGTAATATCACAAAATTATTGAACGAATTATGATGTAATAATTGTGGCTAGGGGTGTACAAATCGAACCGGAAAACCGTATCAAACCGAAAAGTCAAACCAAACCGATTAAAAAATCCGACTAGATTTGGTTTGATTTGGTTTGGTATTTAGTAAAAAAAACCGAACCAAACCGACATATAAATATATAATTTCTATATCTATTTTTAAGATTTTATATAGAATTTTCTTTAAAAATGTCTAGAAATATTTGGGATTCTTTTACGTGATATAATATTTAATTGAATATGAAGTGCTCCATATTTATTAGCTTTAAATATATAATGGGCTGTATGATCACTTTTTTATCAAGTGTTACTGAAATGCGTCAATTTTTTTTATTCTTCCATATTCATATGTCAAGATCTATTAACTTTTTATATCTTTTTCAAATTTGAAGTGATCATTATTATTTAGGTATCATATTGATTTTTATGTTTAATTACTAAATTTGATTAACCTTGAAAGTGTACATCAATAAAAAAATTATTGTCAGACGACTAAAAAGATAACTATCATGTGTTATTAAGTAAATTCTCCCATAAGAATATTTTAATAGATAATATGTTTGTCAATTTTTTAAATTTTTACTAAACATATATTTACTTATCAAAAATTTAACAAAGTAAGATTGAAATAATATTTAAGTAACAAAAATCCGAAAACCCCGATAAAATCGAACCAATCCAAACCGATATAATTGGTTTGGTTTGGTTTTGATAAAAACCGAACCAACCAGGTCCATGGACATCCCTAATTGTGGCACACATTTAATTTAGACCGGATAATAGACGAGCTCAAATTTTGTGACAATAACTAATGTTCTTCACCTAACGATGACTTACAATTATTCATTAGAGATCTTACGCTTGTTTGGATGGTTGTTATCTATTGTATTGTATCGTATTATTACTTTAAATACGATGTTTGTTTTGATTGTTACTTAAATTTTATTATATCGTATCGTTAAATCCATCGTTACGTAACGATGAAATGTGTCACTTTATGTAACAACCGATTCAGTGTGGTTGTATCGTTACCTTATCTTTTTCTTTCATCTCTCCCTTCGTTATTATTAAATAGTTTTATTTTATCGTTTACCCTACCTTGTTATCTATTATATTGTATCGTATTATTACTTTAAATATGATATTTGTTTTTATTGTTACTTAAATTTTATTATATCGTATCGTTAAATCCATCGTTACGTAACGATGAAATGTGCCACTTTATGTAATGACCGATTCAGTGTGGTCGTGTCGTTACCTTATCTTTTTCTCTCATCTCTCTCTTCATTATTATTAAATAGTTTTATTTTATCGTTTACCCTACCTTTTTATATAATAATTCTATCCCGTATCATATTTTTTCTTTATAATATTGCAAGTTTATTCTTCATATTGCTGGTGCGTGATATCATGAAACAAAAACAAACGATATAATCTATCCAAATATTATATTCATCAAACGATACAATACAATATATGTAATACAATACAATACAATACAATACAATACAATACAATACGATACATTATAAAACGATATGTAACAACCGTCCAAACAAGCTGTTACTCAATAGGTATTGCAATACCTAAAATTAGCTGTTACTCAATAGGTATTGCAGTATCTAAAATTACTCTCACTAATATCTGAATTAATTATATTAAATAAAATTTATAGAAATTACGTATATAATATACTGACAGATTATTTCAAGTATTTTAAAATAAGTACATATTTTTTACCTTTAATAGATTTAAACTCTTTGTAATTGTCAACGCAATTTATTTTCTCCATCTAACAGGATTGTTGGAGAGGCTTTTTATTTAAATTCTTGAATTGTTAACTATGTGAAAAAGGGGTAAAGTTTGTAAAAGAAGAAGGAAAAATACATAAGTACCCCTAACCTATGACCGAAGTTTCAACTACACATTTTTACTTTTCGGCGGTCCTATTATCCCTGAACTATTTTAAAATGGAATAAGTACACCATTAGGTGCTGAGCTGGCATAGAGAGTGTGCTCACTCTCTTGGAGGCATGTGAAAAGCAAAGCATGAGTAAAGTCTGATTAATATTATCACATGTTATATTTTAGTTGGACAAGCATTTATAATTAATTAACATTATAACTTAAAATGATATATCTTTTTAGTATTTTTTTTCTTTTTTAATAGAATCAATATTTATTTATTTTTCCTTTCTTTCATTGGAATACAAACAAATCCTCCGGCGAAAGCTTACCGACATCCACCGGAAATACCATTAACACAAACATCATCCTGAACCTCCATAAAACCCCTCTCCTCTCCATGCTTCCAACACCTCATTTACAATCCACTATGGCCAATTTATCACAAAAATCCACTGAAACATCTTAACACTTGACTTTAGTTTTTACTGATTTTGATCAGATGCAAAACATATTTGGTTGATTTTGAAGAAAAGAGTTTTCATTGTCCACCCCAATCAGATCTCCATTAGTCGATTCATGCGGCGGCTGGCCTTCCCTCTTTCTCCATCGTTGAATTTGTCGCTCCGTTAGTGCGCCAGGACAATGCAAAACCACCCGTAAAAAAAAAAGATAAAATAAAATAAAACAAGAAAAGAACAAAGAAGAAGAGAATATGGAAAACTAAAAATACAAAAGGTGAGGAACTTGTATTTGATTTCGTCAGACAAACGACTCCAAGAACGAAATGAAGAAGAAAGGAAGGTGGAAAAGAAAGAAAATGAAAAAGAATAAAAAAAAAGAATAAGAAAATTTAAAAATTAAAATTTACACTTGATAGGCGCGTGTTTTTCACTACTTTGATACGAACCTGATTTTGATCTTTTAAGGAGAAATTGTGTAGTTGGAACTTCGGTCATAGGGGGTACTTATGCATTTTCCTAAAGAAGAACAAAAAAAGAACATGCACTATGGTTAAAATAAAAACACAAAATAAAGAAGTAGACAAACCCTTCAAGCAAGTGTAAATGCTTCCAAATTATGAGCACAAACAAGATCATTAGTTGATTTCAAGAAATGTGAATTCTAGTGATATAATGCCAACTCTACTCTTACGAATCTTCATTATCATAGACGGCTGGTGCTCATTCAATACCTTTTTTTTGGACTTTGGAATAACGTCATAAACATTCATCACTCACAAGACTTTCACCCCCAACTTTTAAAGTCTTCCTTTAAACCTATCTTGGAAGAAGAAAGAATCAAACAATAAAGATTGAAATGACTATGAGTAATAACTAAGCAAATTTACACCTACAATAACTACAGGTAGATGAAACAATTCTCAGTTTACATTAACCTGATCTAAAAGTAATCATTTAATGAAAGGTTTTTTTTTTCTTCAAGGACAAAAAAGTCAACTAACTTTGAGGGATAGTTTAGTAATTCAAATGATTTTAAGTTGGGGGAGGGGAGCTAGGTCAGGTTATGGGTGGGTTTTAATGGATTTATGTAGTTTAAATTGGGGTGAGTCTATTTAATCTAAATTAAGAGCAATTTTGGATTAAAGTGTAATTGTAGAATTTCAAGTACACAGATTTTTGATATAAAGGGTAGGTTTAAATAATTTCCTATACTAAAAGGGGTATATTCGGCGCTTTTCCGAAGGAAAAAGAAATGAAAACTAAAAACAAAACGTAAGTTAATTTCTCTTATGATACTTTCATATGGACACGGGAAAAGCCCCTTCCCTTCCTAGCCTTGGCTCTCACTTTCAAATTCCCGACCTCTTTCTAGCGCCGAAATTACCAGCACGCAGAGCAAGGACAGCATTGGCCGCTCGGCCACTGACCCAAATGGAAATCGGCGGATTAGACTCAGATGGCCGTGAATTTAGAAACGCGGACGAGATGTGGAGAGAAGAAGTAGGAGATGGTGACCACCAAAAGAAGTCTCAATGGTATAACAAAGGCATCAATTACTGGGAAGTAAGTTCCCTTTTTTTGCTTTATGTTATTTATACGCGTTCGGTTGTTGGTTTTTGTCTGTATAGAGATTTGTTCAATGAAATGAGATGAGAACCATGAGGTGTGAGGTTCATCCAAGCGAGATAAAACACGCTAGGTGATTTCTCCCTGTCTGTCTAAGTGTTTGTGAGTTACCCGGCTTGCCTGGTGGGAGTAGCAGGTACCTGATGGAATAGTTGAGTTACGCACCGACACTAGCCAACTGGAACTAAATGGATATTGAGGATTAATACAGCTAAACCTGACTAGCTTGTAATTTCTATGTGTTTACTTGATTTATCTCTGTTGGTATGTGAAGGGTGTGGAAGCCACAGTGGATGGTGTGCTAGGCGGATATGGGCATGTGAATGAGGCTGATATAAAGGCAAGTGAGGAATTTCTCAACACCATTTTGGCAGAAAGGTTCCTTGATGCTGGAAGAGGCCGCCATATTGTAGCTCTGGGTAGTCCATCCATTCTCTTTTATTCTTGGATCTTTTTCTGAAACAATGGAACATATTGGTAACTCAGTATGACATGTTAGCATACAAGATTAAATGTATTTCTTAAAAAAAGCTCCCCAAATTATTTGGATTTTTAGTAAAATATTTTCTAGGAATATGGTTTTTAGTGTTTATGCAACACATGATATGTGGGTTTAGCGCAAGTCATGGGTTCGAACTTTGATGCAGATAGAAGTCTGGTATTTAAGTGGAGAAGGGTAGAAGGCCGACCCTATTATCCGCCGAGTTCCACCCGTGCGCTATTGTCCTATTCAATCTTACTCGTTTTAATCAACATTTGGATGTTGTCGTCAACATTTAATATCTAGAAATATCATCAAATATTGCTCTCATACTCTTTATACACCTTCTACAATGACCACACATGAGGTACTTTTGTATCCAATATAACATTTAAAAATGATTCAAAAAATTATTTCGTAAGGGATAAATCATAGATTGTTTTTCATGGAAGACATTTTCCTCCACCCTAAATGCCACCCAAGACTAGAACTTTATACCATTGCTATCTTTACACTATTTGCTACAGGGCTAAGGTGAAGCTGCCTCTTTGAGTTAAAATGTTTTGACAAATTTCTTACTCCCTTTGTTTCATTTTATATGAAGCTCTTTACTTTTTAGACCGTTTAAAAAATAATAACACCTTTCTTTATTTGAAAACTCCATGTTCTTATAGTAAAATGCCATGGTATGTTTATGACTACTGGTTCTAAGGGTACTTTTGATATGTCCCAAATATATATATATATTTTTGTTAAACTCCGAGCCCAAGTAAACATTGGAATATAATAATGAAATGGGGGAGTATTAGACAAATTTATTTACTAAAGGAAACTCTTAAACTAACGGGTTACTTGGGTGGATGACCCCTTTTAAGTCTTCAATTGAGTAAATACTTTTCAAATAGGTGACGGTGTTATGAAGGATAGGGCAGCCCACTCTATTGAAATTGCCATGGTGGTTGATGAGTTGGATACTCCAGGTGGCACAAGGAAAAGCTCGAAGCTGCGTACAACTAATAGAATGTTAAGGGATTATTCGTGGGACCTTCCCTGAGAATTCTGTTAGACGTCAGAGTGTGTGTGAGAGTTTTAAAGTTTGTGATATGGGACCATTATGGATTATGCTAATTGTGAACCTCCTTCCTCCCTTATCTGCCTCTTCTCTATCTTTCTTCTTCTCTGCCTATTCTCCTCTTCTTCTTCTTCTTCTTCTTCCTCCTCTCTACTCTGACTGTTCTTCTGGTTCTATTTCTAAGTTTAACTTCGTTTATTGTATTTTCATTCCCTAAGATTACTGTAATTGTTCCGTAAATTTGATCAATAAAAGTCTGTATTGTTGTTGGGTTGATTGTGAATTAGTAGCAACTGCTAACATTGGTACTTTCATTGATTTAGCCTCACAATGGTTGACACTCGTTTACAGAAGTTAGATGACTCCATGAAGTAGGTTAGGGAAACTCAGCTCGAATTCAAGCACGAGATTCGTGAAGTTACTGCTTCGATGGCCAATCTTGATGCTAAGGTCGGTGGCCATCAATGGAAAATTCAGGAGATCATTCTCATATCACTGCCTTGGGTAATCAGATCACTTCTTTCTTTGCTGAATCTAGTCGTTCTTGTCCTATTCAGGTTGATGTGACCCCACTGTGGCGGCGGTCGACCACCCAACTCTGCGCCATAAACCGGCACAGGTGAAATTTGGTCGTTTTTCGGGGGACAATCCAGAGGCTTGGGTCTTTCAAGCTAATCGCTATTTTGATTTCTACGGTATTGAAGCTGACCATCGACTCACCATTGCTTCATTTTATCTGGACGGTGAAGCTATTGCGTGGTATTGCTGCCTTTTTCGTAATAAGTAGTTAAGTGACTGGTCGGCTTTCTCTGAGAAATTAATGTCCCACTGCAAAAAGAGGTACCTATAGGAGCCGGAAGGACATTTGGCCAAACTCCAACAAGTGATGACGGTGGCCGCTTATCGGGCGAGTTTGAGGCAATAGTTACTGAAACTGTAGCCCTTCCAGATGCTATGATTTTAAATGGGTTCACTTCGGGCCTTAAACCTGAGATAAAGGATGATGTGCTAATTGCAAAGCCCAAAATATTAGATGAGGCAGTCCACTTTGCCCAATTGTATGAACATATGCTGCAGCGTGACCATGGGCCTTCTCGATCCAGTTGGCCCAGATCACAACCCCTTTTGCCTACTCCCACATCCGCATTACCCACTTCGTCTTCCCCCTTTTCACCCGTCTCTAGTCCTGCTTTAGCCATGCCTAAATTGCTTATCAACCGACTCTCTACATTAGAGCTTCGTGAACGCCGCGAGAAGGGCTTGTGTTTTTCCCGTGACAAAAAGTTTACCAATTACCCCCGGCCACAAATGCAAACCTTTCTCTCATCTTTTATTGATATCCAATGAGCATTTGGAGACATCAGGCGTTTTCGACCCAACTATTTCTGATGAGGCTCTGGCCGAGCATCTTCAAGCCTTAGAAATGGAAGCTCGCTCCACCATTTCCTTTCACGCCCTTACTGGTGCTTATTCCGTGGCCACCTTATGCTTCTGGGGCCATATTCAAGGATCTCCTGTCCAGGTTCTCTTGGATGGGGCTAGTACCCATAACTTTGTGCAGACTCGAGTTGCTAAATTTCTTCAATTACTAGTGGAATCAACATATAGTTTTTCAGTTGTAGTCGGCAGAGGACAACGCCTTCGCTGTGGGTATTGTTCGATCTGTTCCTCTGACCATTCAAGGCCTTGAGCTCCTCCTCGATTTCTATGTTTTGCCTATGCACAGAGCTGATTTGGTCTTGGGTATATCATCATTGGCTACTCTAGGCCCCATTCTGACCGATTATGCGCAACACATATTCAAATTTCACCATGATGGTCCACGCATCCACTGGGACGAAGCCTTCCCTGTCCTTCAACCAATACAGCTTCAAAGTCTCTGCCGTTTGTATAACTCTGATTCTGTGGCATCTTATTATCACCTATGTTGCTCGGACTCTCCGAAAATGTTACCGGGTGCGTGTCGGATCCTCCAAAAATAGTGTATTTTTGGAGGATCCGACACGGGTGCGGCATCATTTTGGAGAGTCCGCGCAACATAGATTATCACCTTGCTTTGGTGTCTCATGACCCAGATAGTCCGCTTGCTTATCCATCAGATCTTAAGGAGCTTCTCGATGGATTTTCTGACATCTTTCAAAATCTATGTTCACTCCCACAGGATCACTCTATCCATTTGTTACCAAACTCCGGGCCTATTACTGTCAAACCTTACACGTACCCGTATTTTCAGAAGCGTGAAATAGAGCGCTTAGTGGATGCGATGTTGAAGGATGGTATAATTCATCCTAGTACCAGTCCATATTCTTCACCTGTCTTGTTGTTTCGCAAAAAGGATGGCACTTGGGCATTTTTGTGTGGATTATCGGGCTCTCAATGCCATTACAGTCCGAGATCGTTTTCCCATTCCTACTATCGATGAATTATTTGATGAACTTCATGGCTCGCAGTTATTCTCTAAGTTGGACTATTTGGCAGGTTACCACCAAATCCGTATGAAGGCTACCGATGCAGAAAAGATAGCCTTCCGCACACATGATGGTCACTATGAATTTTTGGTAATGCCCTTTGGTCTGTCGAATGCCCTTTCAACCTTACAGGCCTTAATGAATAAAGTATTCTGGCCTTATCTTCGCAAGTTCGTTTTGGTGTTTTTGATGATATCCTGGTATATAGTCCGTCATGGGAGCGTCATTTGGAGCATCTTTCTCTGGTGATGCAGCTGCTTCCTCACCACCAGTTGGTGGCTAAACTAATTAAGTGTATCTTTGGCCAGTCTCATGTCGACTAACTTGGGGCATGTTTTATCTCCACAAGGACTCTGTGGATCCAGACAAGGTACTTGCAATTCAGCGATGGCTGCCGCCTCGGAATGTGAAGGAACTCCGGAACTTCCTTGGATTAGCTGGCTACTATAGGTGTTTTATTCGCCACTATGCTCAAGTGTCTAGCCCCCTGACATATTTGTTGTGAAAGGACTTCTTTGCTTGGACCTCTGATGTCCAAGCTGCTTTTGATAAATTGAAGGAACTATTGAGTTCCACACCTGTTCTTGTGTTACGTGATTTTTCCCTACCATTCCAGGTTGAAACAGACGCTTTGGGTACTGGTATTGGGGCTGTTTTAACATAGGCCGGCCACCCCATTACTTTCTATAGCCAAAAACTATGTCCTCGTATGCAAAAGGCCTCAGCTTACCACCGTGAGATGTATGCTATCACTCAAGCAGTCAGCAAATTGCGCCAGGATTTGTTAGGACATAGTTTTACCATTTTGACGGATCAGCAGTCTCTCGAGAACTTAACTGAGCAGGTCATTCAAACTCCGGAGCAACAACACTGTCTGTGTAAACCTGTGGGGTATGATTTCACTATTCTCTACCGTCCAGGCCGTCAAAATTTAGCAGCAGATGTTCTGTCTCGCACCCCTATGGCTTCCTTTTTAGCTTTATCCACTAGGACGTTTGATTTCATCACTACACTACAAGAGGCTAATCTGTCCCATGCGGTATTATTAGATTGGCAAGCAGCACTGCAGCAAGATTTAGCTACTGTTGCAGAGTTTTCCTTTCGTGACGGTTTACTTTTCCACAAGAATAGACTGGTGATACCATATGATTCTCCACTTCGTCTGCACTTGGTCCAAGAGTTCCATTCATCATTATTGGGTGGTCATGCTGGGGAGGCAAGAACATTTCATAGGTTGTCTTCTAATTTCTTTTGGAAAGGAATGAAAAAAGATGTCAAGACTTACGTTGCCTCTTGCCAAATTTGTCAACAGATGAAGGACTCGTCTCAATTACCTGGGGGCTTGTTGCAGCCCCTTCCAATCCCGGATATGTTATTCGAAGAAGTAGCCATGAACTTCATTACTTGCTTGCCTTCTTCGGAAGGCAAGGCGACCATCATGACGGTAATTGGCCGCTTGACCAAATATGGACACTTTGTGGCCTTACCCTCTAGTTTTTCAACACAACCAGTGGCTACTGCTTTTGTCAGCCGCGTCTTGAAGCTACATGGTACTCCTAGAGTGATTATCTCTATCTTGATCCAAGGTTCCAACATTCCTTTTGGAAAGAGATTCACAGACTTCAGGGTACCACTCTTGCTACCAGTACGCTTATCACCCTCAAACCGACGGCCAGTCAGAAGCTTTGAATAAATGCGTCAAAATGTACCTTCGTTGCTTTGTTGCGGATACACCCCATGATTGGGTTTCCATGTTACCATGGGCTGAATTTTGGTACAACACCTCCTATCAATCAGCTGGTATGACTCCTTTCCAAGCTCTATATGGTAGATAACCTCCTGCTATGGTTCGATATGTCTTGGGTGGCAGCTCAGATGATTTGGTGGAGAAATATATGACCCGCAGAGATGAGGTCTTGGGCATTTTGAAACTTAACTTATAGAAGGCACAAACGAGGATGAAAGAGGTAGTGGATTGCAAGAGGCGAGATGAGATTGGATTATGAGCTAGTAGCAGCTGCTAACAGATGACCCTTTTATTACATTAAAGAATTAAGAGGATATCAATTTTTCTTCTGTTGCTGTTTCATTTAAATTGATCTGTCATGGTTAATCAACCTCCTTCTTTAGTCGATTATCCCCTATTGTCTATATTCAACCCTCTTTATTGGTCATTTAGTTTATCAACCTCCTTCTTGGTTGATTATCAACCTATTGTCGATAATCGACCCTCCTTTTGGTATCACCTCCGTGGTTAATCATTAACCTATAGTCAATAAAATGACCTCCTTAGTGGTCGATCATCAACCTTCTTGGTCGTCTATCAACTTGTTGTCGCTACTCAACCTCCTTCTTGGTCGGTTGCCACCTCCTTCTTGGTGTAAAACATCATCTGTCTGAATGGCTAAGTAGCAGGGACATCAACCTAGGGTCGATAATTGACCTCCTTCTTGGTCGATTAAGGGCATTCCCTTAATTTTAAACTTCCGCGAAGAGAAAGAAAAAAGAAAATGAATGTCTTTTAATTAATTCAAGACTTACAGAGGGCGCATACACCAAATCTTCTCTAACTTGTGCAGCCTGTCTACACCTTAATACACAGTTTCCGAAGAACTTGAGCATTACTATTTTTCCTGAATGACTTACCAAAAAGCAATGACCTCCCAAATGCTGATTTTAAGTGCAGTGTATCATTTTTGACTTGTGATTGAACTTTAATACCTATTGGAACTCTTTGTTTGCTTCAAGTTGCAGAATTGACAGCAATTGTGTACCATATTGTCTAGTTTCTTGGTTTATAACGCGTGGACAGTTTGCTCCAATTGGTGCAGATTGTGGATCTGGCATTGGAAGGGTTACCAAGAATCTTCTTATACGATATTTCAATGAGGTATATACTTTCAATTTGAATAAAGTATATCTGATTTATCATCAAATAAGATATTCAAACAATTTGATCTTTTTGACAAGACATTCTGTTTAATCCCTCTAAAATGGCTATCTAGGCTAAAAACAGCAGACAACCAGATTGGACTTTGGCTTGAATGATAGATTTCAGGGTACTTATATTCCTAAGAAGATAGTAAAGAATCCTTGATTAAGCAGAAAACTAGAAGTGGGGGAGGAGGACTCCATGATTC